TGTATCGATTTCTGCATTTACGCGTGAAGTCCACTGTTTGCGGACCGACGAATTCGGAGGGAACTTGCAACATCACTTTTACTGTAGGATCCACAAAAACGTGGGAATATCCACTTTTCCGGTCGAGTTGCTTAGCTCCACTGGTCGGCCTGAAGTCGTTGAGACTTGCTGCTTCATATTCCACTCGTTACTCCTTCCAGCGACTCTGATGTACGGCTCTTTATCAGGTATGGTTACTTTTACTATGGGCTCATTGTAGGGGATAAAAAGTTTGTAAGACGTGGGGCGGATAGATTAAAGGAAGTTTTGTATAATGTGAATGTGTTCACAACTGGCCTTGTCACAGTAAAATCTTGCTCGAAACTCTTCCCGAGATACTTGTTATCTGTCTGACGCAGTTTGCTTTCCTGTTGTGTTCTGTTTCTTTTTAACAGGTGATTTCGGCTATTGCCTGGGTTTCAGTCCTCCTGTTGTGCTCTTTGGTCTGATTCCGGAGTGATATTCTTCCTTTCCTTCCATTATTCGAGATCTGCCTATCATTTCACTTAAAACTTCCTATCGAACGGTTCAAAGTTTCGTTTCCATGTTCTTTGTTGGGAGAGCCGATATTCATCATGCTGATTACTTCGATGGATTATTGTGTAGTAAGAATAACTAGCTCATAAGGTAATGGAAATAAATAAATAAATAAATTGGTAAATGTCTTCTCTTCATACCTCATATTCACAAGAAATTTATAGTTTACTGTAAGAAAGGGAATAGGCTATAAGGTAAGGCATTTCCATGCGTCGATGAGGTAGATCGGGAATTTTCTGTTTCCCTATTTCTTTAATCGATGCTTGCCGTTTCCTGATTCTTTTTTATCGATACTCTAGTGATACAGGCCCCAGATATGCCTTACATCAACTGGACGCAGCCATCTGTACTTTTTGGGTTTTCTGCTGTCATTATGGTCTTTTATGGGTTATCTGCCAATACTAACGTTTCTTTGGTAATAATAGCGTAATATTCATGGTTTTGAAGTATTGTGAAAAGCCTAGTCAGTGTTTGTCTCTATAAAAACATGTGGAACTAGCGGTCAATCAGGATGCTTAAGGCGGAGTGCAAAAGAAATGTCATTTTAGAGGTGTGTTGGGATCCTTGTATGTCAATTATGTGGGAAGAACCAGCTCGATGTTTTGCCTAGTACTCAAAACTTTCAAAATCTTACGATTGAGAGTCGCCACTTTGGCCCCACAACCTCTACACCACATTGTATGTCTCGTGCTTTGTTTTCATGCCATACGCTGAGGAAGATACCTGTGAGACATCGGAAGACTAGCATAATGAGCTTGCCAGGCTTCATAAACTTTTTCGATTTAATTGTTGTGAATCAGTGCGTTCAGAGTCGACTGTGCTTTCGAGCGCTGATACAAAACCAACCCCGGTTTACACGTTCTTCGAGGCCTCCGAAGACTTCATTGAGTTCCTTTCAGGTAATTCTTTTACAATGTTTTAGTTCTTTTTCTTGAAAGTTCCTTTTCATCTCTAGTGCTTAATCTTGATTCCCACGGAAGGAAATCAATCAAAGATATTGATAATGTCATAGCGTCGAATCTCTCAACCAGAAGTATTAGTAATGAGGCACTACCTTGAAGTTTTCCGCTGTGTATGTGGTGCTGTTTGAACAGTAGAAATCAGAATGGCATCTTTTTTTGCGTACTTCCAGCTGCTAAAGTGAAACAGCCATCTGCAAGTTTGCGGGACCCACATGAAACGTTTTGGATTTTTTATTTTTCATGACTGCTTGACACTTTGCGATAGTCACTAAGAACGAATCAGTGTATGCTAATACTAGATGTAGATTTCAATAGAAGATTCCCTACTTGTGCAGTTTTTCGGTTGCTGCAACTTTTTCCTACGGAAAATATCATTTATCCCAGTCCAGAGAAATTTGAAGCCGGGCTAAAGCAGGAGGGCTAATGCCGAATTTCTAGGGCGTATTGGAATGCACGAAATACTGTTGCATGAGGACACTTCGAATGTTGAAATAAAGTTGGAGCCAGGTGGATTCGGAATAACCCATCTGCCAAATGTTCCTGTAAAACCTATAGAGATGTCGCTAAGAAAACTTTACCATGACGTGGAATTCAGCAAGTATGACCATCCTTTTAATTTTTCCGATCAGCTGTTTTTCTTACAATTACAATTTCCTTTTTGTAAATTTTCTTCTTTGCATAAATGTGATTTAATGGCGTTCGTGTGGCCATGCCTGATCGCTTTATTTCACAAGTTCACACTGCTTTACTGAAATAAGTCAGGCCGAAAATTAGTGGTCTTTATGAGCTGTGATCATAGGAAACCACACTTTTCAGGTTGAATTTCAATAGAAAAGTGCTCTTTTAAGACCCCTGTCAAGACGAATTGCTTCGGTAGCTCCCGAATGTGTCGTTTTTTAAAACTGAACTTGGTTTTGAAGGTCTTTGCGACTCTCATCTCTGAACGCCCGCTGCACGGCATCACAGGTGCTCTACCTCACTGCACTGCAGTACGCTCTACTACACGAAACTAAATTGGCAGTATTACGAAGTGCTGGACTTTGTGATATTCTCGTGAGTTGGTATTGTTAATTTTTTGATATTCTGATTTCGTGTACTTTCCATATGTTCCAAAACGATAATTCGTTAATTTTTGCCGAAGTGTTGTTCTTTTTTGCTCCTCTGTGCAACTCTATACTTGACTTTCCATAAATTTTATTCGTTCAATTAGTGGAAGTGGGATAGATATGAATGACGAATGAGGGTAACTGGTCCTGAGAAATTCTCATCATGTTTTACTTGACCATTTTGATTGGGAGGAGACTTTGATTCTGAGTTGGGTCAAATTGATTTGGGTAAGGATCATGTGGTAGAAAAATCACACTCGTGTTGAATCTCTTATCTCATCCACTGCAAGTTGCCTGTGGTTTCCCGCATAGGCTGGTAGAAGGGTTTTATTTTTGGTTCCTACGGGCAGCTGTTTAAAATAAATTAGTTGCCAATTTCTTGGACTCATCTGGAATTGGAAACTTGCTGAACGTGGTTGCTGGACGTTTCTGAAGCTATCCGTGCTCGCAGAATTTCTACTTCAAATTTTATTATTTTTCGTTTCCAGATGGACCATGGAGGTCGTATTTGTTTATTCGGCAGTGTAGAAAGTGTAATAGAAGGTCACATGGCTATCAAGAGGATATTCGTTGAGCAAGGTCTGGGTGAACCAAGGACAAGGCCTCCGTCAGCGCTTGGAATCGATTGCGATTCGAGTAATGAGTTGTTTTATGTACCTACATGAAGGGAACATCAATTCTCGTGATAATGAATCCTTGGAGTGGTCGTGTTTTTCTATTGGGACCCGGCCTGTAATGCGAACTGATAGGATGAGTGAATGGCTTTCAGGGTCATATCCACTTTCCTCAGCACTTTTAAATGTAAAAATGTGGGAATCATCGACTAATCTATTACTTATTTTCAGATAACAACCAGGTCTCATGTACTCTGGACGACACCGTAATGGTGGAGAAGAAGGCAGGCGATGTAGAATGGGTAATTGTTTCTATTGATTGTTCATCAGTTTCCAGTATAGGTGGTCCCGTCGCCTCACGACCGCAACAGGCAGCTTTTATACGCACGGTTGTAGGTGGTGAAATAACCAACGTCAGTGCTACTCTTGTAAGAACATCATGTTTTTGAAAGTAATGTGAACTATTCCGGAATAAGCAGATGTTATCTTGAAGGGTGCTATTAACTGTCGTATGCTGAGTACGCATCCCTTGCGATCATTCTAAATGTGCATTGTTGAAACTCAGGATCTGACCCCGTAAGAGGTTTTTTCCTTCTGTTGATTAAAAAATTATTTGTTTATTAGAATCCCGATACATCGCGTCCACCTCCGCCGCTTCCGACAGGGATAGATCTTCTACCTTCCGAACACACCATTTCCCATTCGTCAACGGTTAGTTAACATGCCATTTTCAATCAGAGTTGGTGTACACAATTATCGAATAATTTGTACAACCTGCACAGAATATCCGTTTATTTCAGAGCGGGCGAGGGAATTCCATCTACCAGTCATGTTCCTACAACTCTGTAGCGAATGGTTCGAGTCGGCTGTCACCTGAANCGGAATCGTCAACACTTTCGACAGCTTTAGCAATTGAAGACCAGCGTAAAGCTATTGTCGAAGAGCCCCACCGTAAAAGTATAAAGTTCTTTGTCAACTTAGCTGATGCTCCTCGTCTCATCGGAACTCGTGGAACCAACAAGCGACGTATTGAACAGGTCACCGGTTGTACAATTGTGGTGAGTTTTGCTATTCAAACTCACTTCTTATAGGATAATTGGCCTAAGGGAGAAATTTATAGAAAAGTGTGTGGTTTGAAGCACTCTAGCAGGTTAGTTCAAACTTAGCCTGCATTATGATCGATCACAAAAGCGAAATAACATTCGTTTTGGTCAACTCATCTCTTTCCTGAGCCATTCTGTTTTTTTACTTCTTCATTAAAATTGGTGAATACAGTGCCTGCTCAAGAATTCCGTTGAAATTCGCAAACTCGGGTTATTTGCTGTTATCCTGTAAGCCGATTGTTTCTTAGCCAAGCGTTATAACATGGCATCAACCAGGTAGCTCAGTCCGTCAAGGTACTCCGAAAATCATTCTGAACTAAGTAATACGGATAAAGTCTCGATGAAATCAGTCCAGTTTTTTGGATGCACCCCTGCACTTGAAATTCATTCAGAATCGTAATGACGGTTTGAATGCATGTTTCATGTCATGTCCCTCGAATCAAACTAGCTGCTCTCATAGCTACTCTAACTAGGTATTATCGCATTCTCTATGCTTGAACGATCACTTCGTCTGGGAAATAGTCGCGAAATCAGTAGACGACCCTTTACTGCAGCTGCTATTTGGTGGAAATTTTGTGATTGAGCTAATTACAAGTAAAGCGTACGTCGTTCATTGAAACTCCTCTCCAAATTCACTTGGGTAAATCTCTATGCACTGAATTTTCCTTACTTTACAGCAGTGTCAATGGGAACTGCTTAGAACAAATTGAGTAGTTGCAGTAGAAACTGAAGTGGTAGAATTATGCTTGGACCAGACCAGCTTCAAAGTCGATAGGTAATATAAGGTTTACTTCTGTACGAGGTGTAGCTAATGCAGCATTACATGCGCAGTTTACGATAATTCTGGGGCATCTGACTTGAAACGAAGAATGAAAGAGATTCCAAAATAGTGCAGCAGTGGCAAAAAAAGGCGCGAAAAGGTGAAAGATATATAAGGTTTCAAAAAAGTCGTAGAATTAAGGGTTGGGCGATAATGGACAATAAAGGTCGCGTAGAAGAAGTATTCGGACGAGCTGTCTAAATGTATGTGCTATTGCGTACAGCTGTTTACAGTAAGCTGCCTGTGTGCAATGTGTGCGTCACAGTGCGAATGGTATAACCTCTATACCTTTTACAATGCCGTGAAAACTCGTCCATCTTTGAGAGTGCTCGTCGACTAAGTGGGCTATGAGGCTCTTATTACATCCTACTTGGGTCGTTTTTCAACCCGGCAACGTCCCCTTGCTATCCTTTGGGGCCACGAAGTCGTTCCAGGGAGAAATTTCAGAAACCATTTTTGTCGTGGATTGTGCCTTCAAGGGACTCGGCATGTATTACATCAAATCTTGCAGGTGTCGAGAATTGAAATTTAAATTCGTAACGTTTTCAAAAAGCAATTTCCAATCCTGATGTTCTCAAAATATTTGTACTCGGTTTCGATACATTCAAAATTGAAGAAGACTCAGTCTTCGATCTTCACAACGTCGTTTTTCAGTTGCACACTGAAAAGAAAGACAATGGGGAGTTTCCAATAGAAATATTTTCGACATCTTCGAAAAGATGTGAAATCGCTCGGCAGCATATTTTGGGCTATCTTGCCAACAGTCGTACTGCAGTGGAAGATATGAGCTCTTCGAATGTTAAGAAAGAGGTTCTTTTTGATTGTTTCGTTTTTCTTTTTTAATTTCAGCTTTGCTGAGAAGTGTTGGGGAAGGTTTCTTCCGTAAGTTTTAAGTTCTACATAAAGTCCGAGCCCTTTGAACGTGCTAAACGCTTTGGGAAGATTCGTATAGGAATACGCATTCGGGGTGTAATCGTCTTGGTTGTGTCTGACCGCGCTTCGGTTCAATTATTTCAGTCCGGACCATTCATCATTTACAATACCATAACAAAGTGTGCTGTCCAGTTGGCTGAGGTTACTACACGAGCGGCTAGTCGTCGACTTATTTTTAAGGGGGATCTGACACAAGGGGGATCCCCATGGTATGGTGATTCGCTTCTCGCTGTTGGATCATAGCTAACTTAACCTAATGGTCATCTCCCATATCTTCAAACCAGATAAAATTGCCTTCTGAAATTGTGCATGGGAACATATGTGTATGTGAGTTGTGGTCATGGGTAATCTTAGGAAACGGTGTTAGTGAGTCTGCATCGCAAGGGGTACTGAATGTCTCGATAACTTCCTGTGATATATTGAAATGACCCCGGGTTGGCAGAGAAGAGAATCCCGGAGGCGATGAATCGTAGCAGTTAATGGGTAGAACTTTCAGAGTTTTGTAACTCTACCTCCAATTAATAAATGTCGATAGCTTGCGGCAGTCAACACAAAATATGTCCCTTCTACGCTGTACTTATTCTTAGAGGGGGTGGTTACGTTGGGTCTGTAAGCCAGACTGTTACTATTCCCCTTTTAGGAGGCCCGCGTTCCTCACTGCGTAGTTGTCCTTGAGGTTCTATCATCCTTCATCATCACCTATTTGGGTGAACCTTGCTGCCGAGAGCCTGTTGCCGCACTGACCCGACAACTTGGAGATCTTGAGCGTGTTGTTTCACTGCTGTAAACTGTTAATCTGACGTAAATAATGTTCTTTAGTGGCGGTGTACTTGATAGCGATGTTGATATGGCGGTGTTCTTTAATGTGCCACTATATCCAATCATATGTTCAGATTCGCGCCCGCCCCAAAGTGCACCTTGACATAAGCCCGAAAAAATTGAACAAGAAGCACACAGATTGAGAGTTTCATTCTCTGTGATGATTTTGTGATTGTTCTACAATTAGTGTTCTACAATGTTATATACACGATATCAGCGTCCA